GTGGGTCTTCATGGTGTATGGTGTGGGTGTTAGTGCTGGAATTCATGATTTTTCCAGCGAACCAATGCTTTCAGTTGTCTCATTTGTTGGCATTGTGGTTGAGGGCGAATTTTCTGATCTAAAATGGACATTATGAGACTCACAATACAAATTGTGGGAGTCCGGATCTCCTGCCCACGTTTGTTGGAGTCATACATAAAGAACATCTCATCCTCTGCATAGTATTATGCAGGGGAAGATGTTCCCAATTCACGAGGGGTGGTGTATTGTGGGTAGGCATGGGCAGAGTTCTCATGTACAGGTGATCTAGACTCAAATTGTGGAAGTGGCATCCGTGTTGGACGATCAATCGTTTCAATATGGACGCATTTTAAGGAAAGCTCTTTATAGTGGATTATCGTTACGTTGGCTTGTTTTGTGCTCCCCTATACCATGCCTTATGTTTGGGTGTGGAAGCTTTGTAATGGGATGACTTGATGATTGGTTGGGGTGTTTTGTTATGGATGTTTTATAGCAAAATTACAGGTTTTTATTTGTATGTATCATACGCTGTCTCATGGAGAAACCCTTGGCCTCTCTTAAAACTACGTCATTTCTGTTATTATCTTTATATTGCCAAGGTTGGGATGGTTTTGGCAATCCTACTCCTTTTAATCTTGAGTTATGAGGATTGGTAGTTAATTTCCGTTCTTGTGGGAGACTTTCTCTATTGGAGGCAGATGCCCTCCTTTTATTTGGCGTTCTCCAGTTATTGTTTACTAATCACTTTGTACTGATGGCTTATTTGTTGTTTGTTACTTCATGATTGTATTATGAGCATTTGTTTGAATGGAATTTGCCTTATGAGGCTTAAAAAAAGTCATGCATCGAATTGTATATCGGAGAAATGTATTTAACAGGTGATATTCGGTATCGATGTCGTTTTCTATTGGAGTATGCCATGGCTTCTGGTCAGAGTCCAAATTTTAGTAAATCCTGGTTCAATTCTCCAGCAACACCCCTAATAGGTTCCAAAGAATTATTGCTCAAATTTTAAAGATTCCTATTCATTATGAATCTAAGAATTATTTGGGAACCTCTGTTATCAACTCAAGAGTAACGACAGAGCACTTACTTTAAATTATCCGTAAAATTAGTATTACCCATACCAAAGAGCGGAGTGGATGGGCGATCTCTTTCTCTTTCGCTCAAAGATGGAAAGCAGATTCCTTTATTCATATTCAGGTTTTGCATAGCTTCCCAAGTGCCCTTCCACTCAAAAAACATTATCGCTGGCTGGGAGATTGACTTTGTTGAATTCTGTGACTTCCATGATGTCTTTATTCATTATGAGGTCTTTTAGAATTCCTCAAAATACTATTGAGGAAGTTGATAGAATGCAAAGGAATTTTCTCTGGGACAAAGACAATGTTAAAAATCTTGTACATCTCCTTAATTGGAAAGGGTGTGTACTCAAAGAAGTAGGGGTGGATTAGGGGTGAAGAATCTCAAATGGATGAATGAACCTAGCTTGGCTAAGCTTGGGTGGAAAATCCTCTGTGAAGAAGATAACATCTCGGTAAAGGTGGTGAAAGATAAATATTTAAGGAAAGAAAACTTCTGGAAGAATAAGAAAAGGAAGGAAGGGGATCTTGTGGGCTTGGAGAGGAGTTTTAATTGCTAGAGATCTCCTAAGAAGAGGTCTTAGATGGGAGATTGGCAATGGTAACTCAATTAAACTCTGGATAGATAATTGGGTTGATGGTGCTCCCCTTTTGGGATATTTCCCTAACTCCACGACTATCAACAAAGATGAGTTAGTAAGTGAATACATTGATAAAGAGAGAGGGGTTTGGATTGAGGAAAAAATTCAAAGTTTAGTCCCTCTTAACTTGTGGAACAAAATTAAAGCTATTTTCATTCCTATGGGTGGTGAACAATATAGGTTAATATGGGGTTTAACTCTGAGTCTCTTTCACCACGTAATCAGCTTACAATCTCATTGGTAGTAATGAAGGTATTAGTGAATCCCCTTTAAACTGGTATTCGATTGTATGCAATATTAGATGTCTGGTGTGTCTGGAAGCGTGTCGTTAACTACTTTGGAATGCTAGTTTCAATAGTTATAAATTTTTTGATTCTCAAAATAACTACAAAACGCAGTTAGTGGTGAGAAAGGGGTCGTATCCATAGGGAAGTGAGGGAAAAATCGTTATGTACTACACAAAATTTAATTAACTGAACTGGAATCCATTAAAATAAAATTCTGACAATGCTGAAAGTAAAAATTGTAGAAAAATAAATAAATAACAGAAATAAAAAAACTAAATAAAAAATCTATAACTCGGTCAGAGGTAGCAGTCTCCGGGTCTATCCTTTGACCCTCGAACTCCTCGAGTTGGGCCTTCCGTCTTACCTGGCCGAATTTCATATCTACAAAAAGGAAGACAAAAATTAAATTTGATAAAAATAAAATAAAAACTAGAAATTAAAGAACGGAAAATAAAAACATGCGTAAAAAGTAAATCTAAAACTATGGGAAACTGGTTGGGATCCGGATCCAGAGGTGGCAATAGTGGCTAGGCGAAGTGCAAGCAAGAACCCCTCCTCTTGCCTGGGCATTCTCCTCTTCTTCTACCCTTGAACTTTTCAAGAACAACCTTTCATTTTACCTAAGGGCAGAATCCAACCAAAAATAACATAAAAGAAAATAAAGAAAACGAAAGAGATGGTTGATCAAACCCAATGGTGGTAGTTGCAGATTGGCTGGACTGCTTGCAGGAACCCCTCCTGACAAGATCAGGGCGTCCTTCCCTTCTACAACCCTTGAACTTCTCAAGAAACCTTAGCCTTGTGAACTGGGTGAATTGACCAACCCCTTCTCTAGGGCCCTTGGGGTCCTTTTTATAGAGAATGGTGGACAAAAATGGGATTAGAGAGGAAGAGATGGGCAGCTCTTAGGTTTATGCAAAAATATGGGCGCCCTAGGGTTTAAGAATGGAGGGTTATGATTGTTCTAAGGTGATCTTAAGGTTGATAAGAGAAGGAGAAGGCGTCTAATATTATGTAAGGCTAAAATTAGGGCGCCTAGAATGGAGGGTGCAGATTTGGGCGCCTATAGCTGGAGAAAGGTGATTGGTCTGTGTGATGTGGCACCCTAAGTTGGTTGGTTGAGGTTTAAGGAGTCAGGTGTAAGGCTAAGATGCTGTTTAGGGAGAGATCTAAGGGTATGAGAGGTTGCTAAGGCTTGGATAGTTGAGATTAGAGGTTATGAGAGAGTGGAGGGTGGAGATTTGATAGCCTAGGGCAGTTAGGGTTTGTTAGAGATGAAAAGAATGAGTGGGGAGGCGCCTTAGGGTTTCTTAAGGAGAGGGGAGTATGCTAATACAATAGGAGAGGTGCCTATTTGGGTTTGGCAGATAGGAGGCGCCCTCTTGTGCTCAGTTTTTCACATAAACACTCCCTCTCTCATCTGGAATTCTCACCAACTTTCCAAGAACTACATTTTAGCCCTGGAACTTCTTCAATTTTCCCTAGGATTTGCATAGGGACCCTCAGATGCCATATTATTGAATTTAACTAGGAAAAATGGCACATTTTAACTATTCTAAGGCCTAAAATACCCCTGAAATGATGCCCTTAAGGCATTAAAATATAGAGTTATCAATGCCCCCCTAAGTTAAAACTTTTCTTGTATCTTACGCTAAATAACAAATTCCTCTCAAAGGCCAACCTTTGTAAGAGAGGTGTTAATATAGATGGGGACTATGATTGGTGTGGGGTTAATGAGGATTTAAATCATATTTTCTTGGACTACACCATTGCTAAGTAGGTTTGGGGTTTTGTTGATCTTAATCTTTGTTAATTCTAATGGGAATATAAATTGGATGGTTGATTGGTGGTCTGTTATTCACAAGGACAATGGAGAAAAAATTTATGAAGGAAAAATGTCTTTTCATTCTCTGGTAAATTTGGAAGAATAGAAATAGGAAAATTTTTGAAAATAAAGAGGAGACCCCCAAACGATATTAGAGAGAGCAGGAAAGGCTTTCTCGGAATATTGGGAGCTTAATGATAATTCTGAACATAACATAGTAAGGAAAAAATGGAATCTCATTACTTGGATCCCCCAAGTATGGTGAAATTAAAATAAATTTTGATGCCTCTCATGTGAGGGAGGGAATATATTCAGTTGCGGCCATTGTCAGAGACTATTTGGGCAAAGTATTGGATTTCAAAAGTTACACGCTTGGCACTTCTTCCATATATTAATGCGGCTGAGGCCTAGGCTGCATGGGAAGCTTACAATCTGGCCCCCAACTTTAACAGTCGGCCATCTATGATAATTAAAGGAGGCGCTGGAGGGAGGAATATTCTACAGGCACATGTTCAGAGAGATGAACCAAGCAATGAATTGGCTCACTCTCAGGGCAATGTCTTCTCCTCACTCTTTTATTTCTTTTAGTTCCTATGGATCTTTTTAGTGACTTTTGGGGTGGTGCTTCCCCGTCTTGTGTAGCATATATTATTCACATAAAAAAACGAATAGTGAAAACAAATACATGTAAAAAGGGCTGCATGCGAAATTCCATGTACGGACAATTTCTCTTGATTTGTTAAAATCGCCAAATTGAAAGTGTGGGATTGGGGACAACAAGAAGGTTCTTTTTTTTTAGCGACAACAAAAAAGGTTGTTGGACAAGACAACTTTTTAACAAAATGTAATGAATTCAAATCAGCCCCACAATGTCCTACAACACATCTCCCTCGTGTATTAAAAGCATTATCACCAGAAAAGATGTATTAAAAAGATCTTGTGAGGGGCTGATCTGGTCACAACTGTAATCGGGTGAAAAAAAATTCTGGCCGCGTAAATTAGTGAATGAAATTATAACGTATTTTTTCGAAATTATAGCGTATTATTATCTATTATATCCAAAATAGTCGATTCCCTAATATAGGTAGATAACCCCTGAGAGTCTGGGACAAGTCCCTTCCATTACTACCACAAAACAAGTAAATAATCACATAACCCAAACATGTCTTCAGGTCAAAATGGTCAGAAAGATATTTTACCGAAACCATTTATTTCCCGGTAAACTCCTTATCCGACGTCCGATCTATATGTATTTTACGATTTTTCACTGATCCGAAGACCTCCAATTCTATAATCAATTGTGTAGTTCTTTGTCGTTCTCGCACTGAGGAAGGTTTTCCCGGTTGAATTCATCGTTATTCATGTCTAAGGAGAGAGAGACAGAGAGCTCTTTTCGTCATTCAGTCAGTGGTTGAGTGTTTACACTTCATCTCTCAAGTCTTAATCGGCACCTACCTTCAGTAGATCTCTACGTTGACGCTCTGAAGTGCTACCTCTGTGCCTCTTTGGAGTTCGATTGACTTCTGCTTTGAAGAATTGAAGCTTCTTGAAATTGTTTCTGTAGAGTTGAAGTTAGGACGGAGTTAATTGTATGTCTGGGGCTGTTTTATCAACTTTCTGATAGTTGATAGTTCAGTATCTTGGTGGTCTTCGCCATGGAAAGGAGTGTCCCCGGCAGACTTGCAGGTTCGGAAATTCATGGGTTTCGTACAATGGAAGGTAAAACGAAAAAGGCATTAGATTCCACTTGTTAGATTCTTTTTCTTTCTTTCTTTCTCTTCAAGAATTATTGTTTTAGCCTTTTATCTTTGATTAGTTTGGGAATTGAACTGTCTTGGTTATTTCTACGGAGTCTCTCTGTTTGGGATATGCAGTAATTTAGTTTGTTTTTGGGTTTTTTTCGTAGTATGAACTTTGTCGGCAGAGTTTAGTATTGGTTTTATGCTTTGTAGGTGTGAGAATAGTGTCTTTGGTTCGTACTGTATCCTATTGATGCTCCTCCTCGATGGTTTCACTAATAAAGTATTTTTCATTGAATTCATGGTCCACAAGCGTCGGTTATGCTCCATACTTGATCAACTGGTTCTTTTTCAGTGCCAATTTACGACTTATTAGATTTCCCCAATTCCCTGTGATAAGCAGATATTTCTTGTATTTGCTCAATTTCAGTTGTTTAGTAATTCTTTGTTTTCCTTGCTATATCCAGATTTGGATGTCCCAAGTATGATGGAGGAAGCCAGGACGAGGTGGCTGCGCCCAAATGAAATTCATGCAATACTATGTAACCACACTTATTTCACCGTCAATGTCAAGCCAATCAATTTGCCCCAAAGTAATAATCTTTTTTAAGTGTTTTTCTTTATCCGGAAACCTATGTTTAATGTAAAGTACTTAAATATTGTTTTTTATTACATAATATGCAAGAGCTATGCTTATATGGGGAATGAGTAAACTTATCCACCCCCAATACCCTATTATTTTCCTTCTCCTTTATAATTTTTTCAACAGCCTGGATTTTCCATTTGCTTTCTTACCAAATTACTTGTCTCAAGCACTGACCATGTAGACAACGAGACCAATAACACACCCAAAAGGGATCCATGAAACATAAGCATCCCTACTTTACTTTACTTGCTTAATTATTTTTTCTATTATTATGCCTAGCCCATGATATTATATGATTGGTTATATCAGGTGTGCATTAGAAGTTATGCCTTAATTGTTTCTCACATGGTAAGGCACATGAGTGCAATGGTTAGTTTCTTAAGTAAAAGCTGTAGCGTTTTTTACAAAGATGGATAACTTTGTTCTCAATCCCTTGTAATTCCTTAGAATATGAAAGACATACAGTTGTCTCAGCCTTTTGAGTTACCATATGCAGCCCTATCTAAGAGTCTAGGATTGGTTCCAAGTTGTACAAGTTTAGATTTGGCAGAGCTTAGTGCCCAAGAAGAGTTTTTCACAAACTTTGATGTATGTGGAAACAGTTATGCCCTGTGAGGTTGTGATGAAGGACATGCTTGAAAAGCATCTCATTAAAAATGAATCTGGATCTGTTGGAAACGGGTGCAATAGTTGCTATCTATGATACCCAGATACCTCTGTACAAGGGTTCCGTGTCATGTTGGATGCTTCAATTTTTAGTGTAAATTTTGCATCTGATACTGTGTCCAACCATGTACTCGCCATATCAGGGTAACATAGGTTGGTACTACACCAAATGAAAAGTAAATTGGCGTATTAGCAACTATACATGTCTTGTTTCCAGCAGATACAGACCATTAAGACTATTCAAAACATACTTTAGTGCCCGATCCTATACATATAAGCAAGAGGACAAGAATGCAAAGGCTTGCTTCTCTTTTTTTAGTATGGTAGAAATGGATTACAATGCAGACTATGGTTGTGATAAGGCATAGATGATGATAATGATGATATATAGTTGCTTCCACTTCATAAATCGACCTCAACAGAACAGAAAGCTCCTCTGTACTCTCTGCAAAGCATGAGCACCTGGTTTACCAGATAAACATAAAAGAAGAAATATCAATCTTCTTGATAATTTCTTTGGCTGCCATCGGTATTCCTGCTCATAAAGGAAATATAATCTTCTTCTCATGTATCCTGGAAGTTTAAGAGTTATCATCGGAATTTTTTCCCAATCATTGTGGACATACAATTGCACTTGAAAATAATTCTTTGGTTGGCATTAATTTTTTGCTATAGCATAGATTTTTCTTTTCTCCATTTTTTGTTTTGTTAGGAATTTAGTTTTTTCTCAAAAAAAAAAGAGTCTTATTGGCCACACCTACCCTGTTTTTACTATTCTCTTTAGTTTCATCAGTTAAGGCATATTAGTCTGAAATGTCAATTCTCAATTTTCTTCCACATGCCATTAACAAGGAAATATAACAAAGTCAGTGCTGATGAGGAGAATTTGAAATGGACTGGTAAGGTGGTGTCATGTGAAGTTGCTCTTTCCTTTACCTGTTAGTTAAGCACTTCTATATATGTTAGTTTGAGATGGAAATGATCTTGTAATTCTCACTCTGTGATGGACTGAAAATGTCATTTTGAGGTTCTTGCGAAATCTATTTAGCATAGCTTTTTGACAATAGATATTTGATAAGTGCTTTTAGTTGTCTGAACTTTTCTTTTGGCAATGCAACCTAGGTGGCACAATTATATTGTTTGACAGGAAAGTGTTGAGAAACTTTCGAAAAGATGGGCACAACTGGAAGAAGAAAAAGGATGGGAAGACTGTTAAAGAAGCGCATGAGCATTTAAAAGTGAGATGCTTCATTTTGCCAAATGTTTTGTTACTTCAAGGAATTCCACGCGCCTTGCTGAAGTTATAATTCTATTAGCTCAATGAACTAAAGCTACTACTAACTATGCATTTTTAGACATTCATTCAGGATTCAGGAATATGATTCTGACAGTATTATATGTTGCTAGACTTAGTATTGTAGAGTAACAGATATTACTTTTGCACCTATTTGTGGGTACATGATAGATTGGTCACAAGTGGTGCAGACCAGGAAGAAGAAAAATCTGATCATCCATTTTTCCTAGGAGGCTCTTATGAGCTCCACCACCCTAGGCTATCTCTAGAAGGGACTTAATAGGATTAGTAGGTTAAAAGTTATTTGACTATACAATTTTGGTATTTGGAAGGCTATTTTAATATTTTTTATATATATGTCTAGACTAGACTTCCCATATTGTTGGGACAAGGCTTTGCTGAGTTTAGTTGAGTCTAGATTTGGAGAGTTTTTTGAATGTTATTAGTAGGTATTTATCAGTTTAAGATGAGTTTTAGGGTGTGAAGTTCTAGGAAGTATCTAATGGCTGTATTGTGGGTCCAAAAAGTTTTGTTGGACCTTAAGTTGAAATATGCCACTTTGTAGGTCTATTTTGTAGTTATCTACTGTTTTCATTGAATACTTTTGCAATTACGAATCCAAAAGATCTTGTAAATTGGGAAACCTATGGCCATTTTATTGGTAAGGTTTGAATGACAGGATTGAGTCTTAGTGAAAGTAGGAAAGTTTTTTGTTGTTCTAAGATCTTTTGAAAAGGCTAGTACAACCCTATTGTCTACGTTTATAAGAGGTCCAGAATTGTAATAAAATGAGATAGAGTGAATGAATGGAATAAGTATGAATTTGGTTTATTGTGAAGTGAATCCTATGCCTTCTCTCCTTTCTTTTCCTTTCTCAATCTTCTTCTGTTACTTCTTTATATTTCTCTGCTTCCATCTCTATTTTTTTTATCAATAAGTTTGTAGCTCTATTAAAAGAAAAATAAGGTGTACACATATACAGGAACCCTAACGAGATAAAATCAGTTATCTCCTTCCCTCATTCTTTTTATTTTACAACTGCACCCAAAACATCTTTTCTATCCCACCCCTTGTTTTGCTAGAGTTTCAGCCATACATTTGGCTTCCTTTTGTACCCATTGAAATTTTGCTTCCATGATCCTAGTTAGCCACTTTTACTCTTTTCATTCCATTCCTGTAAGTCCAAACTCTCTTTTCTTTGTTCTACAGCCACCCTATTACGAGTTGGGAATCCCCTTCAATAAGCAATTTGTTGATATTCATATCCCTCACTCTTTGTTCCCCCTGCATTACAGCCATTATCTTAGCCCTTAGTGAGTCACCAGCTCCAATTTGGCCTGAGAATAATAATGTTATAATGTGACCTGTCTCATTCCTGAAGATTCCTCCCACTCTATTTTCATCTTCTATCTCTCTTCATAATCCACCATGTACACACCAATATGACTGTTCTACTCCCCATTATATCAACATGCTACAAATATTTTTCTTCAAATATAGAATAGCATGTTTCTGAAAGGGGAACAAATAACTAAATTTTCAGACTGAAGCTTATAAAGAAAATTAGTCAAGGCAATAACCAAAACTGAAAAAAAGGGTCCACGTCATGCATATAAGCAACTTTTGCAATCAGGAATGTCTGTATCTTTGTATCCAACAGCCATATGTAGATAGCATCCATCTTGTAAATGAGTCATACTATAAAGATCATGTATCTCTTTGCTTCCATAACGTCCTTGAATTTCTAGTCCTGATAACAAGCCCTGTTTACCTAAAATGGCCTTTGGTGGATATTTCTGGTTGCATGTCACAGGTTGGTGATGAGGAAAGGATCCATGTGTATTATGCACATGGTGAGGATAATCCGAATTTCGTCCGCAGGTGTTACTGGTTACTTGATAAGTATGTAATGGTTATTATTTATTGCTTTTGTAAAATTCGATTTGTTTATTTACCATTTAGCATGTCATAAAACTTGATTCTGTTTTCCTTCTTTGTCAGGAAACAAGAGCACATAGTCCTTGTACATTATCGTGAAACATTAGAGGTTGTTTTCTTATGCCTTATACTTACCTTATAATTAGTTGTTTAACATAACATCTCATTGAGCAACCCAAGCTGAGCCTTTAAATTAACTTGACCCAGCCAAGCTCCTTTTGTTGTTCCTTGTAATAGTTTTAAGAACAAAGAGGCTTGCAGTCCTATTTATACATTTGCCCCTCCCTGACCCCAGAATGGGTCTATAGTTGGGAATGACAAAATTGTGGAACAGGATTCATGTAGCCAACTCATATGGTCTACTCTGGTATAGCTCACTCATAGTACAGCTCTGCCCTTTGACCTTTTTACTCTATGAATTCGAGTTGAGAGTTTAATGCAATGTTTGCTTTGCTTCTGGCTGGAGTATGTTTCAGGCACAAGGTTCTCCAGTCACACCTGTTAATTCAAATTCCAGTCCAGAAAATTCAGGCCCATTTGCTTCTAGAGTATTATCAGAAGAAAATGATTCTGGAGCTAATCATGGGTTTTATGCTGGTAACAATTATCTTCAGAGTTTTCTAGTTGCTTTTTTTATGCAATTTGGAAAGACACCCATTGTTTTCTTAAAAAATATGAATACTGTTTAACTTTATCATTATCACTTATGATAATGGTTCAACTTATGGCCTTACAGAATTCTTGATCCTAACAATGTTCTTTTTGTTCTCCTAAAAGCAAAATCTCATAATTGTACTAAAAAATGAATTTATTAGGTTCTGGCTCACCACTTGTCAGTGAATCAGCAGAGCTTGATGATCATTTCTCTGTACTACACGAAATTAACACACTTGAGTGGGAAGATCTATTGGGGGCACAAGATGCCAGTAATCCTAGTCCACCTAAAAGAGGTAATTCTTAGGATCTATTTCTGATTAGGCCAGCAATTAATTTAGGAAACAATTAACTGTAGCTAACTTTATTGGCAGGTGAAGTTGCACACCTTGAGCAACAAAATTTATATGAACTAAGGGGCTCCCTGCATAGTGTAAGTAAAATTACTGGTGTCTCTAAAAAATGATTCCCAAGCCCTTCCCATGTTCCAAACTATTAGCAATTTAAGGAATTTATTGAATGAACTTAATTTTCTAAAATAATTGAATCCACTAATCTTTTTAATCTCTTTGCTTCTTTGGTAACTAGAGTTCCTACATTAATCAATCAGTTATTCATTGTAGCAGGGTAGCTTTCTCCCAACCAATAGTCTACCTACAACATTATCTTCTTTCAGGCATCCGACTGAACAGATGGCTAAGAGTGCTTCAATTGACATCAGACCACCAAACAGTGGTTACGTTCAGACTGCAGGAGTGATATCAAATAACCAATGGAAGGACTTCGAAAAAACAGATGAATCCTTGAATGCTTCTTTTGGAAACAGTTTGCTAACTCAAGATAGTTTTGGAAGATGGATGAACTGCATAATATCTGACTCCCCAGGATCAATAGATAATGTGCAACTTCAGTCCTCTATTTCAACCACTCATGAAACAACTCTATCTGAAATTACTGATCATCATCATCATACCTCTACACAGGGTCAAGTTTTTAGTATAACTGATGTTTCACCTTCATGGGCATTCTCAACAGAAGAAACAAAGGTTCTTTTCTTCAACCAGACTGTTTATTAGTGGCACTTATTTACAGCTGCATGTATAGATTTTCATTTCCAACATTGATAATGGCCTTTATCTTCTTTCCCACTGTTCTGCAATTTACATAGTATCTTGTGCACATTAACTTGTTTGAAAACATTTCTTGTATTATATGACATAAACTGAAGAGACCTGAGTCTTGGGTCTTCAAAAGTTACTGCTATGGACACCTCATATCATGTTGGAGTTGTTTCATAGGCCTCCATTCTTTGCATATCATTAATTTTCTGTTATCTTATTTGAATGTAGAGGGTTACACCAGAAGAAACAGTTTAAGGAGATAAAATTTAGAAAATCCATAAAATTGGTTCTCTTGAATAAAACCTGACTCCAGCTAAATCTCCTAGAAGAAATTTATATTGATAAACTAGGGGTTGCAGATGACGAAATAGTACATTTTTGAATGTTAATTTGCGTTTTTTATCCATGTAGTTCTGCATTTATTATAAATGTGTTAGTTCTGATGTGGGATGATAGAACCATATTTAAGAACTTGGTTAGCGGTTTACTTTTCAATCTCAACATAAGTTGGACTAGGATTAAAATGTTCATTTTGAGAAGTTAATATTAGCTAATGGTTTTTTCAGGTCATCATGGTTGGGTTTTTCCATGCAGAGTATTCACATATTGCAGAGTCCAATTTACTTTGTGTTATTGGTGATGTATGTGTTCCTGTAGAAATGATTCAAGTTGGAGTATTTCGCTGCATGGCATCACCAAATAACACTGGATTTGTGGATCTCTATTTGAGTCTTGATGGTCGTACACCAATTAGCCAAGTTCTGACTTTTGAGTATCGCTCCCCTTTAATAGATAACCAGGGAGCTTCACAAGAAGACAAGTGTAAGTGGAAAGAGTTTCAAATTCAGTTGCGACTTGCTCGATTATTGTTTTCTACAAACAACAGCCTTAGCATTCTGTCTAGTAAGGTATTACCAAATGCCCTGAAGGAAGCAAAGAAATTTGCACTCATGACCTCAGCTATTGAAAAAGATTGGGCATATTTAATTAAGTCAATTGGGAACAGTGGGATCCCATTTCTGCAAGCCAAAGACATTTTGTTTGAGCTCACTTTGAAGAACAAGTTACAGGAGTGGCTTTTGGAAAGAGTAGCTGAAGGGAGTAAAACCACTATTCGTGATACTCGAGGTCAAGGTGTGATTCACCTGTGTGCTATCCTAGGTTATACATGGGCTGTTTACCCATATTCACGTTCAGGTCTCTCTTTAGATTTTCGAGATGCATATGGATGGACAGCACTTCATTGGGCTGCATTCTATGGAAGGTACTATTATTTTCTTTCTGCGGCATTAAATTTTACAGTATATGTTATCTGCAGATTAGGTTATCACATAATTAATTGTGCTTGTATATTTTGAATTAAAATTGGTTTAGATTTTCCTCTATTTGAAATGAGATCCCAAGTAGATCCTAAATATTTACTCTGTTTTGTATTTTCTTATGGACTATTTTCTGTTTTCAAATAATATAGAGGTATCCTAGTCCTACTCATATTAGTAGAAAAGCAACCTGCATGGCCTCCCTTGTTGGATATCATGTTTGATGAATTGAGGGTATTTTACTGATTTGATAGTGAGATGTCTTGGAAAAGCATCTTTCACAACTTACCAGGTTCCTTCTTGAAACAAGCACAATGGAGAGCAGGTTTAGAACTAGCCAAGCATTTCTCAACAGTCAACAATTCTGGGCTTCACTATTTCATGACTTCATGTGACTTTAATCAAATTTGTGTTTCTCAAGTCATGGAATCTGTGGTCCAATCTCAAAGGGGTTTTCTTTAAATCTATATTCTTGGAAATTTCCATATGCAGGGAGAAAATGGTTGCAGTCCTTTTATCTGCGGGTGCTAAGCCAAACTTGGTCACAGATCCTACCCCAGAATTCCCTGGTGGACGCACTGCTGCTGATCTTGCATCTAAGAATGGTTATGAGGGATTATCTGCTTATCTTGCAGAAAAGGCTTTAATATTCCAATTTTATGAGATGAAAATATCTGGAAATGCAAGTGGCTCCTTGGGAACTAACACAACCACTTACACAAGCCCTGAAGCATTAAATGAGGATGAACTGTGCCTGAAGGATACATTGGCTGCATATCGGACAGCTGCTGATGCAGCAGCCCATATACAGGCTGCATTCAGACAACACTCACTGAAGCTAAAGGAGAAAGCAGTTCAGCTTGCCAATCCAGAGATGGAAGCACGCAATATAATTGCAGCCATGAAGATTCAGCATGCCTTCCGTAACTATGAGACACGAAAGAAGATGACAGCTGCAGCACGAATCCAATACAGATTCCGTACTTGGAAGATCCGAAAAGATTTTCTTAATATGCGTCGACAAGCTATCAAAATTCAAGTAATGCCCTTCACATATTGGTTTATTAACATTCTATTTTTTAGACATTGAATCATGGGGTTGTTGGGGCTCTCTACGAATCACACCAGCAATTGTTCAGATTTGTGATAATTCTCAATCCAAAGAATGTGTGTTGTCACAATTAGATGTTTTAATGCCAATTTCATCCAGAGTTTAATCCAAATCAGCCCCAGTCAAATGGTTCTTCAAGCCAGTTGTCTATAGCCCTGTCATATGCATGTGTTAACTCAATTCCTACTGGCTGGATTAGCCTCCAAAAAAATCTTCTTCTTTGGTGCCTGGTGTTAAGTTTCAGAATAATTCACAAAATTTAACTTTACAAAACAAAACCTGCTAAACTTTAACTGAATATATTTCAGTCAGAAATTCAGGATTTCATCCACTTATTTTGCCTGGGATTTCATACTTAATACTAGAATCAATGAAAAGAGTAATATAAATTGAGTTTTGTTAGCTTAACCACTATGGTGAAACTCCAATTTTACAACCCACTTAAAATATGACATGTCAATGAAAGGAAAAGGGTACCCTGATAAAATATGATAAAAGAAGAAAACACAAACAAAGAAAGGGAAGGTAAATAATGAACAAAAAAACTGAGGGACCTTCAAGTTTCAGATATCACATTTATGCTTCAGACTTTTCATGAAAAATTCCTCTCAACTTTAGAATTCAATCTACAGCGTATCTTTTCCTAAGATATCTCCACCATTACCACACTTTTCTATCCAATCTTTTGAAGAAACCTGAGGGTATCTCTGCTTTTATTATAGGAAAAATTCAGGCAGTCATGAAGATTTATGAGAAAAAAGATGGAATTAAGCATCTGCTTTCCCATCAAAATATCCTCATTCAGGGCCCATAACTCTCTCTCTCTCTCTCTCACACACACACACATGCATGCATACAAAAAGATAAAACATATACTGGTTGGTTTGCATTTTCCACATGCTTCATTTCTGTTGGAGCTCTAATATCTAAAATCATACTGCTATGGTTAATCTAGCATTTTCAATATGAATGTTAGAAAGTATTTTAGATTAATGTAAAAATTAATAAAATGATATGAAACAATGAGAACTTTTTCAGAATACCAAAGTTTTCATTGTGAATTTAAGGGGTCCAAAATGGAAAAAAAAATTCAGGAACTTAAAATCATGCATGAACATGGTTTGGATCTTGGATCATTGTACCACACTGTATCTCTGTTATGTGTTCCCATTAGAAAATAAAAAAAAAAAAAGAGGCCATTACCTGATTTTGGCCCCAGAATTGGGATTTTGGGAGGGGTAGGCTGGGTATGGTCCTAACCTTTGGCATTTTTTGCACAAAGTGGTTGCTATCAAACTCAAACCCGCTTTCTCATGCTTGCCAGCCCAAGATTTTACCATGAAACCAAGTAATGGCCCCTATGTTTCTAAATACAAAATCCATATTAAAAAAAATGCCTTTTTACAGTCCACTCCACCTCAGAATTCATAAATTAATTCCCCAAATGTATTTATCCCCACCCCCCTATAAACAGCACCCCTCCTGGTGAATTGGGAATCTTTCCCCCTGCTTGACACTGACCCGAACTGTACGATCGCATTATGAATTCTGAGGTGGACTGAACTCAAATTACTCCCCCCCCCCAAAAAAAACTTACTGACTATTTATGTTTCCCAACTTAGGCTGTTTTTCGAGGCTACCAAGTACGAAGACAGTACCGCAAAATTCTTTGGTCAGTTGGAGTACTCGAGAAGGTGATTTTACGCTGGCGTCTTAAGAGAAAAGGCTTTCGTGGTCTTTCTGTCGAACTTGAACCAACTCAAGAAATGCCAGTAGATCAAAATCAAGAAAGTGATGTGGAGGACGACTTCTTCCGGGTTAGTAGGAAGCAAGCTGAAGAACGTGTTGAGAGATCTGTTGTACGGGTCCAGGCCATGTTCCGATCAAAGCAAGCACAACAAGAGTACCGGAGGATGAAATTGGCCTATGATCAGGCAGCGGTAAGTAATTTTTTGTGAGAGCCCTAGGGCTGCAATATGGATATATGGGTTAGATGACTAAATAAAACCTTAAATTATGCAGTTGGAATATGAAGATCTTCTTGATCCTGAAGTCAGAAATCAAAAGTGAAGAAGCACTAGTTGCTCCTGGGTGATTCTGAAAACTCCAGCAGCGCAGCTGGAAAAAAACACCGGTCCATTGCAGGTTTGTGTTCTTCAATCATATACACATCATCTCATCGAAGTAGATGTATAGTTTGATCATTTCCGACCGATCTTTGTATGTTGAGTAGGCCATGGAGCTGTGTTCTTTGTATGTTGTGTAGGCCATGGAGCTAAAACGATTTTTTGTCAATGTAAATCCATATAAGAAACTAGTGATAGTCTATGATTCAGCATGTCCAACCAAAGTGTAATGTTGACAGACTGTGTTTTAATGATCCGCAAAAAAATAGAAAGTTAGTAACTTAATTTGTAAATTCCCTGCCTATTTTACTGAGCTTCTTGTCTACCTCCGCTGTTTGTATCAACGATCCCTGAATGTTGAAGTCATGAGTGTCAGGGGAAACAAGAATTTGAAGTTTCCCCCAACGCCTCATGTGCATAAGTCAAAGCATTTCTATTTTTAATATTAAAACCACAGTGATTTCATGCACAATAAACACCAACGCTTCATGTGCATAATTCAAAGCATTTCTATTTTTAGTATTAAAACCAAATAGTGATTTCATGCACAATAAACACCAACGCCTATGAAACGTTTATGTAATGGTGTTTTCTAATAAAGGACGATGAAATCAAACATAGTCTACAGTATAATGGGTTTCTTTTTACATATGTTCAGACGGAAATTTGTTATAATAAATTTGCCTTGGGATTTCGCTTCATGGTCATGGGTAGAGCCTTGGAAAAACTTTGGCAACTTCTTAGACATTACATTAGGGGTTTGAGGATTGACTGATCTACGACAGCTTTATCCCTAAATATGCTGAGAGTGTTTCGCAGAGTGTTCCTTATACCGATCTCATAGCATGTCTTGGCCACACATTGAGAACATATCCCATACTTATATTTATTATTTATGGGGAGATGTTACCAATACAAAGGTGGAATGTGGCTGTGAGGTCCAACACTCTCTGTGGGATCAAATCTATAAAACTGCAGGCTTTTGTGGTAATTGGCAGGGTTGTTCATGGGTCGGGTTGGGTCGGTTTATTGAGATTTTTCCAACCGACTCGACCTGGTCGGGTTACCTAAACTTGAAACCGAAACCGACCCAGTGTTAAGCAAAACCGACTTGATCGGTTTGAGTCGGGTTGGGTCGGTTTCGGTTCTAAGTTCAACCATGCCCCCCATGTGCCTGTGTGGTGCAAGTTTGGGTTGTCAGTTTGAGAACTTATTCTCGCTAGAAGTGAAGACGGCAAAAAGAAGACAAATTGATAAGCATCTGGGATTAGAGAGATTAGTTTCACCATGAAAATTGAAATCATGAATTTCAAACATTATATCAACTTGTATGCACTACACAAAGGATTATGAACAACTAAACAAAGTATACAATAACATGCTTCTTTAGCTAAGTCAATTCGGTTTGGGTTGGTTTCGATTTTCACACAAGAAAACCGAAACCGACCCGAACTATCGGTTTATGATGTTTTACAACCCGAAACCGACCGGTGCTGAAGATAACTCGACCGACTCGGGTTGGGTCGGTCCGGGTTGGTCGGTTTGGTCGGGTTGGGCCTTCTTATGAACAACCCTAGTAACTGGTAAGGTCTCTTGGGTTGGATTGAGAATTTGTTAATATTTGAATGCATTTTTAAGGTCATCTATAAAACTGTAGGCTTTTTGTGGCAACTGGTAAAGTCTCTTGGGCTGGATTGAGAATTTGTTAATATTTGAATCAACGTTTTAAAAAATGACCCGGAAATGAAACCGTTCTAATCACCGGTTTTCAGGTTGATAGTCTGACTATCCGGTTCGAATGGATGGTCCGTTCTAACAAACAAATTAAAAAAATAATAAAATAATAAAAAATAAAAAAATGGTCAAAAACCATTGAACAGGTTGATAGGTCGACTGCCTGAATCAACGAGTTATTGACTTTTTCAATGGTTTTTGACCAAAAACCGGGTTTAGGGTAAAACAGAACTAATTGCCTAAACGTCCGACCGTACGAATCAACGGTGGTTTGAAAACCTTGATTTGAATGGACCTAACCCGAGTTGCAGCCCTAAAGGTCAGTAGACCTCGTCCCCACCCCTGATGTGTTGAAAAAAAAAACCCAACAAAACGACTCTTGTTTTACTTTTATCATTATTTGTACAAGCATTGCTTCTATAAGACTATAACCATTCTTTACATGCATATAAACACACCTGGAAGTTGCAGTCCTAAGTCCTACTCCTATTCAAGGCAGATTTGGAAGCCTCCAGGCTCCAACATATGTATTCCACCTTCCATGGGTGTCTAAATTAAAACAACCAATGAGGAACCTTTCTCTCACCACCCTTCTCCTCAATGGTATCTAAGGTGGGCTTCCACCCTTTCCCGGATGCTTGCTTGCTCAAACACAAGAACTCTGACCTTATATCGACCATCTCTGCCAGAAACTCTAACTCTGGTTTCTCCACCAAAGTTTCTTTATTTTTCTTATGCAAGAGCAGCTCTGCCTCTTCTCCTGTCCCGATGCCTGCTGGACATATCCTGGCGAACAGAGGAAGAAACCTTGACGACGATAAAAGAGATCCTGAGCTCAGAACCGACTTGGCCCTCGTAACAATCCTGCGGGCTTCATCAGACGACAATGCTGCTGCCACCTTCCCCCTCTTCATTGGAAGCATTAAGTAGACCTTTTCCATCTCTAGCATGGTATCAGCAGGCAACGGAGCAGGCTTGTTTCCGGCAGCGAGTGAATGGAATTCAACCACAATCTGTTGGGGATGCTCTAACATGAGCTCCGCAACAGCTAAGGGCTGGTCAAATTCATGGACTGAACCGTCCGGAAGTATGACTTTGCCGGTTCCCTTTGCTGACTGATGGGAGATGTAGTTCCCCATGACCGTGAGAGAGGAAGAGAGATGGCTGAAGAATTTATAGAGCAAACCAGCAAGAGAGATCGATCTAGAGAGAGAGAGGTGCACCGCTTATTGGAATTGAATAAAGGCGTGATATTGTTTGTGTTTTATTAATGCGGGAGGTGTAAACGATTGTGGGAGGTGTTTGTTTAACCGCTCCAACTTGTGATAAAAAGGAGGGAGTGGTGGACTTGGTAACTCCAGACAGAGTAAAGATGGAGTCGGTGGAGTTTTTAAGGAAGAAGGTGCTCCTCCATTTCTTTCTTTCATAAGTCCGTCTCATAAGTTAATACCTGCTCCTCTAAAAGGGACTAATGTAATCTAACACGGAGGATCTCATTAAGCTTTTTCTTTGTTTTCACAACCTCCCTGAAAGCTTGTTATTAACGTATATGTTTATTGAGAACTGGTTCAATAATCAAAATCAATCTGATGATGACTGTGGTTCTTGTCATAAGTTATAAACTTGTGAGAGCCCCGAGTCAGCACCAACACACCAACCAGAAGTACAAGTCAAGAAGCCGGTGAGCTAAAAAGTAAAAAGGCTAAAAGCATGTTTCTGGTGTCGTGTCATCTCATCCGATCCAGCATTTTACTCTCTAACTGAGTTACTACGGTCGAGTTCAAGTAACATTGAAATTTGGTAATTACTCACGATTCACGAACCATAAAGCTACCTGTCCTACAGACATAGGGATCAAAATTTGCCTTCTATTTTTTTTTTTGTTTTGTTGGTAAGCGAGAGGTGGTCCCACAGAATACAGTTAATAGAAACACTCCCACCAGACATTGCATTACGCGCCAGGCAATCAAAAATTGCCATGGTCACACTTCAAGCCTGATGCATTCTAAACCGGGCCGTGCCACTCATGGCCCGATATGATGGTCTGTGGGCTGTGCCAAGTCCGATACGATCATATGGACCTGGGTATGTGGTTTTAGGTCTATGGATCGACACAGTATGGCATTGTATGACCAATATATATTATTTATATATTTATATAATATTATATAAATTATAATTATATAATAATATATATACTATATTAATAAAATAAATATTTTTTTAATTTTATTATACTAATTTATTTAATTATTGTATATATAAGTAATTGTATACATAAAATTTATATAAAATTAAAATTTTAAGTTTTTTGTTATTTTTTAAATAAATAGCTTTGGCCCAATGCACAACCCGACTTGGCCCAAGGCTCAGTCCACGGGCCAGCCCCCAAATTTTTTACCAAGGAGGGCGGCATGGCCATAACGGCCCGCGGGCTAGCACGACACAACCTGCACTTTGCGCGGGCCGCTCGCAGGTTGTGCCGTGCCAGCTCGGCATGGCCCGCTTTACACCTCTATTCGTTAGATGTATTCTATCTATCCTATGAGGATCAATTTTAGGTAGGGTTGTCAATGGGTCGGATCCGACCCAACGGACCTGAACTGATTATACTGGTTCTGGTTTTCAGAATTGGAACTGATGGGTCAGTTTCTTGTCAAAACCGTAATAGAATGGTTTGGTTTAAGAATTTCTCAAACCAGAATTTACTAGTTTGGCCTAAGATCTTCTCCAAACCAGACCATAAACACCCCTAGAGCATACATCTTGTGAAATGTAAAAGTATACCTTTTAAAACATGAACCGTTGAAGTACTATATGACGTTACACAATTAATTGAAATCTCAATTTAACATGTAACAAATATTTATAAATTCATCATAATTGGACTAAAAAAACACAAATTCCTTCCTCCTAAATCTCTAACCCCAACCCCACCTCGCCTAAAAAAAAAAAACAAAAACGATGACATGTAAGTGAGATGGAGATGCTACCAAACTAGGGTAAAATTTGCTGTTACACATTCACTTTATACAACAATGTTGATCTCTTTCTTTCCAATGCTTATAAAAATGTCAATCTTTTTCTTTTTTTTTTTCTTTCTTTTCTTTTTTTTAAGGAAAATTGTCTGAAACTCACCATGAGTTTTCAGCATTTCTCTTAAACTTACCACAAGTTTTCAAATTGTCTAAAACTCACCATGTCACTAACTTGATGTTAAACAAATTAACGGGTGTTAATATATTATCATTTTAACCTTCATAAAAAATATAAAATATATACAAAATAAATTAACAGGTGTAAATATATTACCATTTTGATATTTAGACATGAAAAAAGGAAAATTTTCAAAAAAAATATTTTCAAATATAAAATACATTAAAACATAGAAATTACAATAAAATATAAAAAATGGTTTTCAAATTATAGAAACTATAGAAATTGAAAAACAAAATCAGAAAATAAAAATTGTAGAAAAGACACCAAAAATTATAGAAAAACACAGAAATTGCACAAAAAAAATACAAGAAATTTTATAGATTGTAGAAAATAGAAAAATATTAAAAAACATTGGAAATTATAACAAAACACTAAAAATGCAAAAAAAAAGAAAATTGAAAAATGAAAAATACCATTTTTCTCTAGCTCACCATTCAAGGATAATTTGGTCATAAAAATTGTTATTTATGCTGACATAGACACCTTTGCTAAGAAGCATTAACGGTGTATTAACAGAAGGTGATTTTTGGAAAATAAAAACTTTCTTACATTGTGAGTTTTAGACATTTTAAAAAATTATGGTGAATTTAAGAGAAATGTTGAAAACTCTTGGTGAATTTTAGACAATTTCCCTTTTTTTAATAGAAAACAACGTTGATTAAATAATCATCACATGAATTTTTTTACCCAGTAAGAAACTGCAATAGAGTGACACCAAAATACCTTATAAGTAGCTGCTAGAGTATTGATAGGGTATAATCAAGCCAAGTGGAGTTGAGTTTGGGTGGCTCGAGCTCAACCTCAATTCAAAAACTTGGAGCTTAAAACTCGACTTGAGCTCGACCCCCATTATAAATAAACTGCTATTAAAAATTATAAATAAATTAATATTTAAAATATTATAAATTTATTTATTTATATTATAAATATAAATTAATATTAAAAATATTATAAAGATCAAACTTGGCTTAACTAACTACTCAACTTGAGCCCAAATAACTCGTGAATTGGCTCCACTCGCTTACACCCTAGGCTGATCCTGACATGCACTGGACAATGGCTCCTAATTCCCTCATACAAGGAATTAACAGGAATAAATGTTTTGGAAGGAAACAATGGATGAATGTGAATAACCTTAATCGAAATTGAGTGAGGTTAGTTAGTGATTCTCTTCTCTTATATAATATCTTTATCAAAATGAATAAAGTTACAAAGTTATCTATAAAAAGAAAAAGAAAAAGAAAAAGAAAATCTGGCTTCCCTTACTTGATGTACTGGGAGAGCCACTTGAAGCCATCACCATAGCCCATCTTGCGGACAATGCTACACATAAAGACCTCCAGCGGGCGCACGTTTGAATCGGCAAGGTTTACTTTACCCTTGCCTGTAGTGAAGTTTGTGAGGCCAAGGTGGTAGCGCAGCTCATCCTCTGAAGCTGCATAGGGTTTGTCAATCTTGTTACCCAGCACAAGGAAAGGAACACTCGTCAGTGACTCATCTGACAGCAGCCCATCTAACTCCTTCTTTGACTCCGCAAACCTTTCCTTGTCATAGGCATCCACTAGGTATACAACCGCATCAACCTGCACAACAGGACCCACATGTATGCTGTTTATTACTAATTCTGCCCTAGATGTGTTTGACAATAGGCCGAAGAGAAGAGTACAAAAGGAAATCAACAGGGATAAGATAACAGGTAACTCTAGGAGTAAAATCAATAAATTAAAGCTTCACTAGATGATCCACAACAAATGGATAAACAACCTAATCCTAGATTATATCAGACAGGCTTCATTTCCACAAAAAGAATTCTACACTAAGTCAAGAATCCATAAAGAACAAACACAGTACAGACACTGAAGGAAGTGTGATGCGGCTAGCTAGTAAACCTGAGAAAGAAAGATTTGGTTGGTAAAAGCATATAACAACCACCTTACAAGGAAAATCAGAAGTGCCAATTTCCCAAAAAAAAATGACAAATGGCATTAAAAGAAAACCAAATTAACTAACAACTGAGAAATGATCGATTGGGTGCAAACTAGATCTTCATGTCATAAGCGAACTGGACATACTTTCTCACTTCTCAGTTAATAAATAGCTTGGTGAGGGGTAAGGGCCGTAATGTGACGGTTCAGCCACCATCAGTGCCATCAGCACGCCATCCAAGTGTCTTGGGTTGGGTCCTTGTACTTTTTTTGTAAGGGGGGTATGCCAATGGCAATTATGTAAATAGTAGTATGCATGTACAGTATTTTGATATATCATTCTGTCACTCCCCCAAAAGCTTAATGTACTCTTTGAGGGGAGGTAGGTAGTCGAGTGAACTCATAAGCGTGTAAAGGTTAAGCACGAGATCCCCTCGACACTGTACTGTGTGCTTGTGCTTACTATTGATTAATGCAATACAATTTGCCTTTTGTCTAATTTGTGTGCACTCTTGTTTCCTTTTGTGTGTTCTTGCTTGCATTTGTAGGCTTTCTCGACCCCAATCAAGCACCGCACGGGGCCCCGTGATAGTTGGTATCAGAGCCTCGTTGACACTAGCGGTTGTCAAGCCCAACGAGTCCCTTTCGTGCCCCRCAACAACACCAGCCCGATGAAGAATCGTGACATGCGAGAGGAGATCCAGGAAGGGATCTCACGGGTTTATGATGAGGACGAGCCTAGAGGTAGCTCTCCCAAAGACAAAGGCGTCAACTCAAAGCATAACAAGCGTGACAAGTCAGTTGACAAGCTTGCGACCATGGACAAGCGCATCATGCGCTGTGAAGCAGTGGTTGGCGAAACTCGTAACCGTGTGGACGAGCTTCAACTCAACCTTGAGACCGTAGCATCGATCGTTGAAAGATTGGAGGACCAGTCCGGTGACAGCTCCAACAGGCCAGACAACCCACTAGAAGACCTGGTGAAGTGCCTACAGATCCAGCTCGAAGACTTGAAGGG